TCTTTGAAATGAAAATCCTGACTTGGTTCACAATCCACCAAGAGTCTATATTAATGACTGAAAAAAAATGCAAACGAAGAAATAAAAAGCACTGGATATTTTTCCTAAAAGGAAAGTAACTTTTGATAAGTGGGGATATCTAAGTTAGTGAAGGATACACATAATCTCCATGTAAATAGGTAGGGGACAGGGAACCTGAGGCCAGGGGCACAGCAAGTGACTTGGTCTTCTGGGCTCAAGCCTCCTCTGGGACCCCAAGAACTAATCAGCTACAGCCTAGAATTCTAGACATTGGTCCAGAATCAAACAAAGCTGGCACAGAGCAATGGAATCATTCCAGCACCCCACTGTCCTCTTATTTGTTCAAGTAATCGACTCAAACCAAAAGAAGCCATGCCCTTCTTTCATTTGTGACAACTGACCACCAAGCTCGCTCTCTGACTCTAACTCCCCCACCACAGCGGCGTTTAGCAGTCGGTGGCCTCCCGTACAAAGCACGGATGAAGACGACAGTGCACCTTTACAGATGACTTTGCTTATACATCTGTGCCATCAAACCACTTGTATGTCATGTGCGTGTGTTTATTGTGTAGGGAAGAATAAATGAAATGAAATTTAATTTCAGGTAAGTGATCTTATTTGTGGAAAATGCTTTAGTTGGCTCAGCACCTGTAGCACAGTTGTTACAGTGCCAGCCACATACACCAAGGGTGGTGGGTTTGAACCCGGCCCAGGCCAGCTAAACAATTGCAACAAAAAAATAGTCAGGCATGTGGCAGGTGCCTGTAGTCCCAGCTACTTGGGAGGCTGAGGCAAGAGATTTGCTTAAGCCCAAGAGTTGAAGGTTGCTGTGAGCGGTGATGCCACAGCACTCTACCCAAGATGACATGGTGAGACTCTGTCTCAAAAAAAATAAATAAATAAAGAAAGAAAGAAAGAAAGAAAGAAAGAAGCAAATGCTTTAGTCTATTTGGAGAGACCAAAATAAAATTCTTTTTTTTTTTTTTTTTGCAGTTTTTGGCGGGGGCTGTGTACAAACGCACTACTCCTGGTGTATGGGGCCAGCCCCCTACTCCTTTGTGCCACAGGTGCTGCCTTAAAATTTTCTTGTACATTATTCAGATAGAAATAAATTTTAAGCAATCAAAAACTGTAAATGTGAGTTAGGGTGTAACTACCATTATCTTTAAGAAGCCACTTGTCAGCACTAAGGCTGTTCATTTCGACAATTACGAAAAAAAATGAAAGAAAAGCAATCATATGTATTTTTCTATGGAAATAAGTAAGTCCATCCACTGTAGTTTATCAAATCTGAATGTGCAGGGATGTCATCAGATGGTCACGTATTATGTGAAGCATGAGGAGAACGTGAATGTGATCTTAAAACTCTTAGATTAACTCTGTTAAATCTAACACCAGGAGGATACACAATCATTTTGCTACTAGAAGTTCCCTTCCTGGAGGAGAGTGACCTTTTAACCATATTTGGGTCCTTGCATTCTGCTAAGCCTCTTCCTCACCTAACATCTGGATGTCAATGCATAAATATATCTGTAATAGTAACTGAGCTATTTAAGGAATTGGTGTGTGTGTGAAAATGAATGGATGTTGGAAGTAGGAAATGTGGGCGTGTGAGGATGTGTATCTTGTTAATATCAGAATAAGAACTCAGAAAAATAAGCCTTCTTCTCCCTCTCTTCCAATGCAGACAACTCCTTTATCATGCGGGATTTCTAAAACAGAGACCAAAGTATGTGGTCCATGTCAGGTCATGAGTTAAAGAGAATTCATTGTTACTAAATAAACAAAGCATTGTTCCTTGAAGTCAGTTATGAAGACATTCAAATGTCCTTACCATCTAGTTCTTTTCATTACAATAGAGTTTTACTTGTGTGTGTCACTTTCCAATTATAGAATAACAATTTCATAAACGTCAAGGCTAAAGAATGTATGTTTATGCTGCCAGGAGTAATTTGCTAGGCCTGCCACCTTTCAGATACATATGCATCTACCCCCAAACTCTCATAAATCCACGTAAAGTGAAGATGCTCCATCTGTAGGGCCACCTTCTACTGAACTTCATTTCACCCTACTCTGCCCTGCTGTAATAAAACATCTGGGATTGCGAGAGAAAGACGGATGAGTAACACTGGGGGGAGAAGTGCACCTTTCCTCGTGGAGCTCACCGGGTTTTACTTAAGAACATTTCACAAACGCTTGCGACACCACCAGCACCGTGCATTAGGAAAGCTGGTATTAGGAAGGTCTCATTATCTCTCCAATTTGCAGGTGGAGGAACTGAGAAATAAAGACAAGTGGAGGAAATTCCCCAGGGTGAACATTTGGGCTGGTGTTAGGATCCAGAGCTGCCTGGATGCAGGGGTCTGGCTCCCTGCCCTGGGAAACAACGCAACATTCCCATTGTTCTTCCAATTGTCCCTCACGGAGCGGGGGAGACAGTTAACACTTTCACTGCCACGGGATATTATTTTAGAAAAGTTGGAAAGTCCTTTTTTGGCCTTTGATTGATCTTGACCCTAAACACAAACATATATTAAAATTGCTATAAGATTCAGAAGGTGACCTGTGAATGAGATGAGACGCTATACTTGACCTTTCTTTCAGTCCAAGCCTGATTATCTCATTGACAGATACCTGTGGAGCTAAGTGAAATGACTCCAGCTTAGTATATAATGTTAATTGGTTAGGCTATTTTAGAATTGACACATTCTCACTTTTGAAATATTCTGCTTTGAATATGTTCAGTGTTTAGAAAAGTACCTGAAGTTGTTAATTTTAAGAAAGCAAAACTTTTAATTATTCAACGTAGATAGGGTAACATTTTGCTTTTACCTAAAATATAATAATTCCACCTTATTGGAATTGGTCTGTAACAATGAAAAACAAAAATATGCCACAGCTTTGCTGAAGAAAAAATAAATAGTAAAATATTTTAAAAACTAGCAAGCAAAAAAACAAAAAAACCCCACCAAACCTATGTTTTGCAACTGTGACATGAGTGTCCAGAATTTTTAAACTTTAACAAAAGTGGTGGTAAAAGAAAAATTGTTGGAATAGTTTCAAAAATAAATTTTCACATTCCTTCCAAATAGAAAAGCTTTTACAACTAATGTTGCAAAAAAGGTTTTTAACCAAACTGTCATGATTTGACAGCATCAAATTTAGCATTTCTTGCTCTATAAAAAATAGCTCTCAAGATAAAACTAAGAGGGGAGAAAGGTCATTAAAACTAGCCGAACTCTTATTTAAAAGTAATAAAAATGGAACAGAATTTTTTTTTTTTTGAGACAGAGTCTCACTTTGTCATTGTTGGTAGAGTGCCATGGCATCATAGCTCATAGAAACTTCCAACTCTTGGGCTCAAGAGATTCTCTTCCCTCAGCCTTCCAAGTAGCTGGGACTACAGGCACCTGGCACAGTGTCTGGCTATTTTTGGAGATGGGGTCTCGATATGGTTGCTCAGGCTGGTTTCAAACCTCTGAGCTCAGGGCAATCCACCCACCTCGGCCCCCCAGAGTGCTGGATTAGAGGCACCTGCCCTTGAATAGAATTTTTTTTTTTTTAAGTTAAAATTTGTCCAGTCTAAAGTTATGCCTTTTGCTTCTGGAAATGAACAAAGCCATTTAATTCATTGATTTCAATCAGAAAATTCTGGGTCACAAAACAATAGATTTATGGATAAAAAGTACAAGTCCAAGTTTCAGTAGGTCACATTTTGAAAACGTGGAAGACAAGGTGAGTTCCAAAGTCTCACCTTTGACATTTGGTGCATCTCCTTTGGCGGATACTGTCTGGTACAGAGGTTACTGAAGCAGGACAGAAAATAAAGCTAATGACAAAGAATCCCCAGTACTTCTTGAATGAAGCGACCTCTCCAAAAAACGGGGGACGCATGACCCAACGAGGTTAGAGAACATCCTGAGGTTACTACCTGGTACCTAAAAAACAGTCAATAAATATGTGTGGCCTGGAATAAATGGCCCCTAAAGGGCAAGGGGAGCTCTTCGAGAGCAAAAGCACAGCAAGTGGACATCCAGAACCCGTCCCTCTGAACCTGACCTCAGACAGCCCACCTTTCACTTCCTGGTAGGACCCACACTGTTTTTGGTGTCTTTTCCCATTGTCAAAAAAAGACTGAAATCCTGAAAAACACCAAACCTATCTGAGAGGCGTGAACAAATTATTTTCTGTTCAATGTTTCAAACGAGATCAAGTTTAAAAATAAGACCAAAAAAAAAAAAAAAAAAGTTTTCATGGGAGACAGATTCATTGCTGGTTCATGCGACTTACCTTAGACACTTGGGGTTGCTTCTTTAAAGAAGGAAAGTGTGAAAGTTCCCTAGTCAAGATTGTCACAGCCCACTATCCAGAAGGTAGTTATAAGTCTGTAGAGTCCTCCAAATAAGACTTTATATGGCACAGCCTCAGGCCCCCCAAACAGACCTCATTTGTACAGTTAGGAGTTATGGGGCTTGGATTTTTGAATTTTTAAATCCACTTTTTAATTAATCCACTTTCTTTTCCTTTGCAGAGCCCCATGTCATAGCAATCTACCTGGTGGCCTCAGCACAGAAGTGGCAACACTGATGAGCCATGTGTTTTTCACCAATATTTTTTTCCACGGTATGAACCAAGCCCTAAAAGCCACAGCTGAATCCTTCAGAAATGTTCCTGGGCATGGTCTTCATTCCAGTGAAAGAGAAATGACTGTCATTTATGCCACAAACAAAACTGCTACTGTTGTAATCCCACTTGGAGAGAGGATGCGAGACGTCTCAGAGGAGCTCAGTGTCGGGCAGCAAGTACAGCTTCGAACCTCGGAGGCAGTGTTCTATTTCTATAGGTACATGTATTTTACAGATGGGTGGCGGACAGAGTACTTCTGAGAAACAATTCCTTCCAGGTCTAAAACCAAATGACCGGCTGTCATTTCTATAAACCCCACAGTTTCAGCAATCTGTACACCTAGCAATGCTGCAGATTTTTTTTTTCCTTTAATTTCAGAGGGTGAAGACGAAGTAAAAAAAGTGCAGTTCTTCAATTAAAGTGCATGGATGAGGTAAACTAATTTCAAGAGTTTAGAGTTTATTCAGTACTGGCTCAGACAGGAACCATTCTGCCGTGCAGCTGCTGCATTTGGGTCCGCATGGCCTGGACGCTGCTCAAAATCTTATTCTGGTGCGTGATGGCCGTGATGCCGATCCTTGCCAGGTCACTGCACGTAGGGTGAAAAACAGAGGGAGAGAAAAAGTCATGGGGACTGAGAACCTGTTTTTCTGGGCTTCATGCACACACACATTTGAATCAGCCACAAATTCGTACAGCACAACAAGGCAGGTGTATTAAAGATGTTTAATTAAGCAACTGAATGCAACAATGTAGGTGCTGTGTGAAAATTACACTCAATCAAAATGAGAGGCATTCCAGTTTTCTGATATTTTTTTAAATGAGTAGGATGATTATGCAGCTCAAAGCAAAAAAAGGAAAATACTATTAAATCTAGATTTACCCTTTGGTGTTACATCGCTGAGTACTTACTCCTGGTTCACGTGCACCACAGCCTCTAGTGTGGTATAACCAGCAGCTGTGAAGTTATCCTTATATCGGTCCATTTTAATGGCCTGGAGCCAGTCGCCCACTGAGACCACTGCAGAGAATTCAGGGGAGCTTGGATCCAGCAGGGCAGTGTTAGGCCTGGAAACGGAATAAGAAAGTATAAATAAACATCAGCTATCCGTGTGACAGGGAGACTCAGAAATCAGATTGCCTAAGAAAGGCGAGGGGGCCTGAAAACCCGTAAGGAATAACCACTGTTCCAACGTAACCAGGTGATTTCCCACCTTAAATTTTACAAAGTTGCTAAGGCATGTATCCACTACACTATTTTTTCCCTGAATTCCATTTCCTGCACTTGTTTTGTGTGAACCTCTTAGTGCACTAATGTTCATGGCAGGTCTTTAACATCTGAGCCTGGGGTGAGGCTCTGGGTAGCCCCCGTGGCTGAAACCTGTCCCGTCTTTGCAGAAAGCGTCCAGTCCCTGCCAGCACTGAACATAGACTTTGGTTCAGCAACTATGGAAACCTTAGTGAAGTATGAGTAAGGAAAACTGCAAGCTTGCAACCTGCCAGACTGGCTAGAAGCAGAGAAAACAGCAAGAATTCAAGTGCAGCAGCTTCCAGCCAGGTCTGCAGGAGGCTCAGTACACACAGACAAGCCTGGGGCCGCAGGGAGTTAATCCCCTCTTTAATCAACCCATGCCTGACCAACACGTGTGCCAAGGCTGGCAGAAAGAATGGCCACTTTGATCACTGTTTGGACTGTGGAATGTGCTTCTCGTATTCCCTTGCTTGGGCTCCTAAATAATGATTTCAACCAATTCAGGGCACTTCTTATTAACTTATTTATTAGTTTACTCATTCCTCAGGCCAGGTGCCTTATATTAGGTCACTATCAAGCGCATTTCCAGGCAGGAACGCTCCCATGCCTAATGATATTGACATACAATAAATCATATTTATAGAAAGTATTTGTTATGAGAATTATAGTCATCTTCATCATCAAACTACTTAATAATTATAGGGTTGAACTTCACTACTACTTGTTGGGGAATGTTTTCTTGAACGTACCTTTTCCCTAAAAATAATAAAATGTGTTTGATCTTAAAATTTTAGCCTGATTTTTCACCCTGAGACTAAGTTTAAGTATACATGTTTAAATCAGAATTACACCCTGTATCATTACTACTGAATTTTCAACCCAAAATGTTCTTTTCTGATAAAAACAAAAGTAAATCAGTGTCATACCTTGATTAATTTTCTACATCTCAAATTTACTCCAATTCTGTTTTGAAATTTTCATTTTTACCTAATTTGATTTTTATTACTTCTTTTTTATGTAAATGTTTTAAGAAAGGCTTGTTTTAGCCACCTGTTCTTGTATCCAAACGTTACCTTGCCTTTGTGACCTTTCTTAAATGCGTCATTTTAGCTAATTTCAATTTTCTGAGTAAATTCCACAGATGTTTATAGCAAGGATAATCAAGATCTAATTCTTCCCCCAATTTTGAGTTAATAACAAATGTTACCATATAGAGTTTTAATTGTTTGTGGGATGTAGAACAATAATATTCGTTATTAGACAAAAACTAATAGCTTCCATTTATGTCTCACTTTAAGCTGGGACCAGTGTTAATAAGGCAAGATATAGTTGTAGGTGCCTGACAAGGTCAAAATGACATTTGGATGGGAATATCTTCACTTTCTGTTGATTAACACAAAGGGTCATTCTCAAGCTTGTTCTGGAAGTCTTTGTGCTTTTTGTGGAATGCTAGGACATTTGCCTAATTTTGCGCTGAGTCACATATGGTGTTACAGTACATCTCATTATTCACAACCAGTAATGAGCACCAAAGCTATGTAAAAACCATCAGTGAGAAAAATTTAGAATTGACAATA